TGTCACGTGCTTTTACGTATATTCTAAAATTGTGAATGGATTGAAAACTCGTTAAACTAAAACTAAAAATCGAAGTGATATAAGAGTTGCAAATAATTCGACATGAAAAAACATATCCCTGTTTACTTGAAATTCTTTAATTCTGTGCACATTAAATATTTTAAGAACTATATGTCATTACTGTTCACATTGTATAAATTATTAAAGTTTAAGTGTATTTGACGAAAATCATGAACAATAACAAATTCGCAGCATGACGTCACCATAACGTAACATTTATGTTGTCGTTTTTTCAATATAAAACCTTTATATAGAGAACAATTGATTTCTCCTCAAATAGAAAAAAAATAACGGTATCCTCTTATATTGTAATAAGATCAAAACGAAAATGGACACTTTTTTTACATACAATAGCCATGTCCCACTGCTTTCCTGTTAGGGCAATTACAATTATATAGAAACCAAAACCGAATAGCCGTCTGTAAAAGGCAAAGACATGACAAAATAATTTAGCCTGCTTGCTATTTTTTCGTAAATTTTTATTATAAGAGAACGGAAATGGATATTTTATCAATCTTAGGACTATATCTCCGATTTATTTAAAATTAATCATTTTAAGAGCGTAAATGATAAATTCAAATAAACATCTTCGTAACAAAAAGGATACAATTCTTCAAAAAATATCATTCTGATTAAATAGAGCAAATTAATCCGACTAGAATTGAATAAAAAGCTTAAGCAAATAGTTTTTAACAATCTTGTACAGTTTGGTAAACTTGCATATATTGCATATAAGGTAAAACCGAATACTGTTCGTTGTCATACACCCAGAGACGTTTTTTTGTGCTATGAATTCTTCGGATAAAACGCTGGGTAACTAGGACATGTTGGAGAAACATATATATTTTTACTATTGATTTGTGTAAAAGATACTTATTTCCAATGATGTCGTGAATATAAACCTAACACGAATGTATGTTTATCAACGTACAAACCTCCTATAAGCTTTTCTCAGAAAGTGCATGTAAAACTACAAATATGGATTCACCAAAATACAATGTTTCCCCTAACGAAACAAATGTAATTGTAAACTTCTATGTCAGTTGGTCTTTGGTGAAGAGTTGTCTCATTAAAAATCATACCACATTTTATTTCTATACTCTTGAATATTAATCTCACGATGTAAGATATGGTTTATTTTATCGTTCAGGATAACGCTTTAACACCTATTCACCTGAGATCACCCCCAGTTTTTGGTGGGGTTCGTGTTGCTTAGTCTTTATTTTTCTATGTTGTGTCTTGGGTACTATTATTTGTCTGTTTGTCTTTTTTTTTTTAGCCATGGCGTTGTCAGTTTATTTTCGATCTATGATTTTGAATGTCGCTCTGGTATCTTTCGCCCCTCTTTAACACCCATACAAACTACAGTCAGTAAGTAGTTAAGTTCGATCACATATATTGTTATTACTTATCACTTAAAATGATAAATTGCATTAAGCATTTCCATTGATGCGCGATGTCCAACTGTTATGAGCAATAAATTAAAACAAATTTACCTTAACAGTGTTTTTTTGTTTTACAGCAAATATTGGCTTTTTCTATCCGACGGGTGTTTGTATACAAAGAAAGAATACAACTGATGTAAGCAATGCATGGACATTCTTTGATGGTACACCCATGACCTACTCTAAAGGGATCCCAGGTGATTCTAGTGGTTCAGGATATATACGTATTGACAGAAGCAAAGATTTTGGATTGGTAGTACCTCCGAGACCAAATTAGTGGACATACACCTACATGTGTGAAATAAGGATTATTTAAAAATCGTCTTATGTCAATCAACATTTTATTCTTTAGTCTATCGTTTGACTTCGTGTGTACAGAGTCTGTTTATTTGACCAATTGTTAAATATGTGTAACTCTTTTTTTCTCTCTCCTTTTTCTTTCTCTTAAGATACAGAACGTTTCACGAATTTGCGTCTCGTCCTATGCTTATCTTTTTTGTATCATTCAAATTTTTGAATACGTACTGCCTGCTGTGACACTTTAACAGTTGTGATGCACATTTGGACACATCTGTTTTGTTTCTATATCTTGAAAATCACACAATATATTTAATACAAATTATAAAAACAAATGTCCTTAATTTGTTTTTCTACCTTTAGAATATCTGTAGTTTCTTGTAATTTGATATTCAAAATACTTTTTTAAGTTATACTTGTAATGAATTCACTGTTATTAGACAATTCTGAAATTCTGTTAAATGCATATATTAGAATCCAACAGTAAAATATTTATTTAAATTGGTAAGTAACTTGCATTGAAATTGAATTTGACGTAAAAGTACATACTTCCAAATCTAAGAACCATGTGCTATTTCTTAGTTTCGAAATTTTGTTTACAGTAACAGTATACAACAAATGGTCATTCGGAAGTTATCTTAGATTTTTCATGATAAATAAAGTGTTCGAACCTAATGACAAGTTCTTACAATTTCTCAACAAGCTATTAAAGTATAATGTACAAAACAGTTTACAAAACACAAATATGATATACAACAAAAACATACAGAAACATTTTGCAACTTGAGGTTAAACAAACAGCAATTACTGAATCAATTTCCTTCCCTTTCTGATAATTTCTTTTTGTTTATTGTGGACAACTTTTCTCAATGCTATATGTGCACTGCACATGTTTTTGTTTGCTTTTAAACCAAATTTAAAGTATGTTTTTAAAGTGTTATTTCTGTTACACAGTAAATTGGTTTTATTGTATATTTTCTGTGAATCATTTGTTATTCAATTGAAATAGGCAGCTCCATATGTTTTTGCTCAATCTGACATTTTAGAAACATTGTCAATGGTAATTGGTAGTTGGATCTTAACGTGTTACGGCATTCAACAATTGTTAAAATTGCTTACAAACTCCTTTTTTTTTTAACTCATAGCGATTTATGCCTGGCATGTATGTGAAACTGTAGATGTTTTATTTTTCGTTTGAAAATTGTCTCATTGAGGTAACCACCTATCTCCTTTCCTATATATTAAATGTTGTGTTCTTGTTATGCATTTTCATGATGCGAACCCCACATAAGTTGATGTCAAGTGTTTTGTCATACAAAAAAAACTTTCTGAATTACAAAAATAGGAAGATATGTAATGATTCTCTACCTGAGAAACCACTTGGCAAAAGAAAAATTATAGAATGATGTGGATATGTACTGTAAATTCAGGAATTAAGGCGTATATTTATTATTGCGAATTTTGGAGAAAATACAAAAATTGGAGATTAGTTATAGCAATTTTAGGAAAATCTGCATACCGATGTATGTATCCTTTTATCAGAACACGAGTTCTTATTATTACGATACTCTCCAAGTCGCGTTAATCTCAATAATAAATATACACCCTAATTTCTGAAATAACAGTACATATCCACATGATGTACTGTTTGTTCTTATGATGTGCTGTTACACAACTTTCCCAGGTATGGGAAGGGTTGAACGCCTGCAAACATGTTTTATCCTGCCTCATTCCAAATGTGCCTGTCTCAAGGCAGGATCTTATAATTCAGCGGTTGTCGTTTAATTGTTGCTATTTTTTTATTGTTTTGTTCAGTTTGTTCTTTTGATTTCCTATTGCCCCAATCCCAGGTTTAAGAGGAAGGTTGGGCGCTGCTAACATGTTTAGATTCACCAAATTCTATATTGGCTGTCTAAAGCTATGAGACTGCAATTCAGTGGTATTCCTTTGTTGCTGTGTATCATATTTGTTTTTGTATATTGTTTTGTATATACATAAGGCTGTTAGTTGTCTCGTTCGAAAGTTCACATTTTCCTTTTCAGGGCATTTTATTGCTTCCTTTGCTATGTGAGTTTTGCTCATTGCTGCAGGCCGTACAGTGACATACTTCTACGTCATTTGGTCTCTGCTGATGAGTTGTCTCATTAGCAGTTTTCCTATATCTTCCTATTTTTGTATACATTTCTTACAGGTGTGGCATTTGTAAATATCTTATTTATTGTAATCAAAACCAGTATTCCTAGTGTAAAATTATCATCCGTATAATAACTGCAAACTAAATTATATTACAGTACAACAGAAATAATGTAAAATTATAAAGAAGATAACCGACCCATACCATTCCCTTTTCTATGTTGCAGCTCTTTTAATCAATCACATTTATTATCTTTTTCTTTACAATTCTCTTTGCAAGTTTAATATAAATTTGTTCTTGCGAAGACAGACACATACACATTATACCGTTTTTAATATTTTAAGTCTTCAAGTTTCCATTTGTAAAGTCTAAACCACACGAATAGAAAATGAAGTCATATAAGTATGAAAAATATCCGAAATCTATTAACCGGTGTAATCGTCTTTGAATTTTTTCAACTGGCAAATAGTCTTTTGAATCAATTACTAGAAGCAAAAATATGTTTTTCTTTTATTTGTTTATATATAGAAGTATTATAATTATTATAATTTCCATCCAACAAAAACAAAATGTTTCTTTCTCTTTTAATAAATTATATCATAAGTAACGGTAATATGAATAAGGTTACAATTGATGTAACAACTGAAGACAACTGAGCTGTTTGTAAAAGAAAAAGATTGAACGCAAGCTAAATGTCTGAACCTTACCGATTTTTGTTTTCAACAAGAAATATCTTAAAAAAATAACTTAACAACACTTTCCGTTTTTTATATTAGATTTTTCAGATAAATAAAAGATAAAAATTACCATTGAAGACAGACTAAAAACAATCACTGTCTGGTGACCTCATTATAGATTTAGAAAGAGTTACAGGACATTTTGTGCGAACTTCTGGCCTTTTTTTGGAGTACCGATATTCGCCCAAATGCGTGTGTAAGTTCATTTTGCTTCTTCGTGTCCAATTTTCAGTCTTTTTGATCTTCTTGTTTTCTTTTTAGTCAACTTGTTGTTTTTATTGCCTTATTGTAATTTTCTCACATTATTTTATTGTAAAAACAAAATCATTAATTCTACAGATAGTTTAATAAAGATACGATGTCATACTACAGTTAGATAATGTCAATCACAATATATACAACATAGCTTTGAGACTAAACAGTTATGAGCAAATTGCACAAACTTGAACCCATACTTCTCTATTCACTTTGAATAAGTAGAAGTATACATACGTTATTTTGAAACTTTGAACAAAAAAAAAGCGTCATGCAAATCCTTTCGAAATATTTTCTTGCCTATACCTATCATTTGAGTAATATATGATTTACAAATCAAATATTTTCAGTATTTCTTTCATCGGTGTTAACACATAGTTTTCGCACGTTGACTTTCCTATTAACATCCCGATACAACCAGTTAGTCTTTTGTAACCCGAAGTATGAACATAAACACAAGTCCCTGAATCTCCTTCATGAAACTCCATTCCATAGATGCATAGCTGATTATACATCTTAATTCCCCTGGATTGAATATGTGTACCGGTTCTTACAAGAATATTCTTTTTTTCGGTTTTTAAATCACACATCTGATTTCCGGAAATTCCACAAAATGCTTTAGCATTTCGCAATGTTACTGGATCGATAGCATTGTTATTCAAATAGGGTGATGACAAACCTGACAAAAAGAAAAGACAAAGGAACAGTTCGTTATTGGTTTTGTTTCTTGGCAATAGATACAATATACTGTGGATTCATTTATTTTCGCGGGTGCCAATTTTCGTGAATTGAGGAAACATAGCGTTTTATGGATATTTGATTTCATGGTTTTGTTAAAGTCTACCTAAATTCCTATAGAAAATTTGTATTCGTTAGACATTGAAATTCGTAGATCCCGGGCATCCACGAAAACCAAAAACAATCGTATTCAACGAATAATAACTACCCACAATCTTTCCCCTACATATTTGATTCACACCCAAACTACAATATAGATAATATTTTAGATACGAATCTTTTTGTTTGAAGTAATGTTAAAAGCGGAATTTTGAAGTAATATTTCGTGATAAGCAGTTAATTTTGCCTAATTTTGTCAAAATAGCTATAAAAAAAATGTTCGAGTCGTGTTCAGCTATTACAACATGTAAAAGAAAAAGAATCAACACTGAAAGCAAAACAAGGGTGAACTATTTCGTTGACTGATCCGATCCTTAAAAAATCTATAACCTACAGGTAAAATCGATAGTTTACTTATTTTTTAGCATTTAACATGAAACTAAACAGACCTAGGAAAATCCAAATGCACGTGGTCACTATCTATCTGTTTTTCTATTCATCTTATCATCTGGTTATATGACAGAAGTTAGACTTTAGAGGTCTTCATGATGGTTAATTAGCTAGATTGCGTCTAGACAAAGATTCAAACGAAATAATGATTTATATATTCGACTCCATGCATCGTTTATTGCTAATTCTAATGCAATTTTATGTAACAATTTTTTTCATTGGCTAAAAGTTACCGTCAAATCCACAGTTGACCAGTCGTAACTAAGGAGGGACCCGCCATTTTGAATTCATGGATCAACAAATGTTCGATTACTACAATATTATCGAAAATAAAACAACACCTACCTCAAAATTGCCGTTTTGATGTGATTTTATCCAAATTTGAATCGTAGAAATAACGAAATAACCTTCAGTTTTTAAGTTTTCATTTGTATAACATCATGTTTAGCCATGACGTCTTTGCGCCAAAATCATTCATGAAGTTTCGCGGAATTTTATTAAATTTCAAATTCATACATTTTTTCAAGCTTTAACGTATTATTTCTTTTTGTAATGCATTAGAATCGGAATAACAGTACTGTAGTTGAAGAGTTGCCACCGTCAATTTTGATTTGACGGTCGCAAATATCCGTTTGACTGTCTCCGCTACGCGTCGCCAGTAAAACTGCATTTGCGACCGTCAAATTGCCAATTGACGGTGGCAACTCCTCAACTACAGTACAGTTATTCCTTAATTTTAGACTTATAGTAATTTGAATAAACGTTTTAGTATATTATAAATCAAACATGAGATTTCTAGTCAAATCGGTGAACATGATTTTGACAACTAATACCCCTTGAAAACCAATGGCTCGTATAGGGAAAGTGCAATAAATTTTCAAGTTAAATAATCAGTTACTTTGTAAAACATAGTAATCTAGTATTAATTGAAGAATTGTTATTCCTGAATATGTCAATGAACGTAATATATGATCCTATAACATATTTTTAGGAATGAGGAAAAAATATAAAAGATGTTAATATTGAAAGGGTGTGAATTAATTGATACTGTTAATGTGTCTTTTTGATGATTGATTTCGCGATTTCGATACATTATTTTTTTGCACGGGTGTTGAATTTTATCAACAACGTCACATGCACCCTGAACATACATATTTTTGTTTTCTGTCATTTTTTCGCGCGGGTTGTATTTTATGTTATTGCGAAAGAAGCATTTTGCAAAAATTTGGTTAGAAAATAGAATGCTAATAGGTTTTTCCCAAATCGCGATTGTCTTAATTCCAAAAAAATCGCAGAACATAAAAGCTTTTTTCAATTTTTCTCGTTATGAGTGTCTTGATCTCAAAATTTATCAAACATATTTGGTAATTTAAATATGTTATCACTTTTTCTAACCAGTATAACTGTGTTGCTAGAAATGTAGTGTTATTTTGTTTTTGAAAATTCAACGTGTAAATATATGGTTGCTTTTCAGTTTTTTAATGCATACACATGAAGTTGGCATACCTAAATCCGTGCAGCATTGCCTTCTCCTATCGTCATTTGCAATGTTGAACATGTTAAGGTCGCCACCATTGATTACTGCCAGGGCTGCATCGATACTCGTTTCAGATGGATTATGATCATCGTGTTTGAATGTATGCCTAATCAATATACATTCTGTTATATCGGAAATGTTTTTGTCCGTCATCATATGACATTTTTCAAGATGTATCTTATTTTTTGTTATTGAATGTACAATATCCGCTCCAAAGACAACATGAGCACATGTTAAAAATGTGTCCAATCCATAATATTTTACAAATCCTCCTAGCGTACCACAAGATTGAGCATTCATCTTTTCAACCACATCACCAATTCTAAAAGAGCCAAGTAAATGTGTTGCTCCTTCTAACACATCCGTTTCAACACCTTCAATTTCTAAAGGAAAATGAGTATCTCCTACAGGTATAACTCCTTTTACAGTACAAACGAGGTTAATACAGTTCAGATTCTCGATTTTATGGGATCCAGTATTCTTAAAACCTTTCGACTTCATTGAAGAAGGATATATAATAGATAAATTACTATGTTTTCCAAATAGATCTTTTGCTACTTTCCCGGATATATTTCCCTCTATCAATTGAGTTCCAGAATTTTGAAAAATCTGATTTGCAACAAATCTTGCTTCTTTAGAGTTTGTTTCTATAATCCTTATCGAGAAACCGTAGAACATCTTGTCTTCGAATGTTTCTTTAAAGTGTGAAGGATATCTTTCAATAATTATTTTGGGCTTTGAAGAGGAATACAGACAATCTTCGTAACTGACAACTTTTGATGTCTCACAAGTGCATTCGATGCCTAACCAAATACTTGTTAGTCTGTCAAACACTTTCTCATGAATTTGAAAAAAGTATTTAATGATTTGGGAAGTCATAGCCTTCATTGTGTTTCTACGTTTAGTCTTAATAGCTTTATCTAAAGCTTCTTGTAATAGTGGACACATGACACTTTTGTTGAAGTTAATGAGTATATGTCGACATAGAACGATCTGATTTGACTCAATTGAGTTGTGTAGTTCACCTTTGATGTTTACTTTACGAGATGTCATAACCTTTTGGAAGATGAATATTTTTTCAAATTCCACATTTGATGGAAGATATAAGACTGTAAAATCCTTCAGCAAGCGAATTCTATCTGAAAGAACAATGCCATTGAAGTATTTTAAAATTTAGTGTGGTTGATATACATTACATGAGAAGCTTGTTTTTGTTTAAATGTTTTTGCAGCTTATCAATGAACAAAAAGTTAGTTCACTGATGTTCAGTAAACGTATCAAAAGTTGTGGGTATAAAAGGTAAACATAATATTAAGATCTTAGTATACTAGCTACCATGTGTGACAGTAAATGCCACAAAGCCAAGAAAATAACATAATCGCTGATAATGAAAGATACGTATTTGTGGACATGTTATATATATATGAATTTGTTCAAATATCAATTATAGTTAGTTGAGGAAATCAAACTTAGATTCAAAAGATACTAACGAAACCATCTCGTTTTTGCTTTTCGAACTAAGTGTCTAAATTGTAATAAAATACCTAGAATACAAATTTGCCAATGATCAGAAAGAAGATCCGAAAGAGAAACAAGACAACGACAGGTCAAATAAAAAAAAATATGAAATGGAATTTATCTACATTACCAAAAACTGGAAGATTAAATTATAAAATAGGATGATAATAGAATTCAGAATAATACAAATGTGAAAAACCAATTTTCTGTTGAACTAAATAATCTACTGTGTCATTGACGTTTGGTCTTAATCCTCCTTTATTCAGAGAATTATCAATGGACGTTTACCTTTATGAGTATTTTGAAAATTTTAAACCTAACAAGATATATTAATTTTGTTACTTTCATCCCGTGGTCAGAATCAAACACAAATTATTTGCCAACCGATTTAATAAAAATGATTTTCACAATCATATCAAAAGACAGCATTCGTGATGTTGGATAAAAGTATTACGATTTGCCGTCATTGAAAAAATATATTATGAAACTGTTGTAGTAACGGCAAATACACAATACATTAAACAGTTATGTGGACAGAAATGAAACATTCAAAAATAAATTTACCGTAAATAGTGACATTTTTTTTACACGTTACAAATTACAGGATTTAAAAAATTGCAAAAGCAAAATTCGAATTAAATGTTCTGCAGGGCGAAGCGTGATAAACCACAGATGTCGGACTCTGAACAGTTGGAACCAGTATGGACACAACATGAAAGCTTGATGAAGCTTTGGGTTCCGATTGTGATTTAATATTTGACACAGAATGAATGTGGTGTAAAAACTTAAATATTTGAAATTGGACCTAATATGGTCCAATATCCAAAATTTAATTACATAGTTAGATTCAGCATATCAAAGAACAAAATCAAGTCAAGAATTGAGTAATTCATGCAATGTATTAGAAAAGTATTGTTGTTGAACCCTTTTTCCGAAACAGGTAAGGCCATTACCCCAAAAAATCAATCCCAACCTTCCATGTTTAAGTTGCATTTCTGTAAATATTGACAATGCAACTTCCCATAGGAACTCCTTTTACGGCTAAAACTGTACCACTTTTACTATGAAGTTTTGAAAGAAATCATATCCAAGAATGGAAAGTTCATATGCACTACTATTTTTTCAAAGATCAAAATATAGGGCTGTCCGGCATATTTTCAACGTTTATATTCCCCGAACTTCTAAGAGTTTAAACTAACACTAAATTTCTTAACTACTCCTACCTTAACTGTAGGATTACCACAGATTTCAATATAAACAATATGCAAAGAATATTTACTGGTAACATTCCCAAGTTATGTCTCTATGAGATGAAACATGGCGATCATAACTGGGAACCAGTATGCAAACAAAATTAATTATCTATGAATATTCTATATCTCCTTAAAAGAGGATTGGTTTGAAAAACAGCTGTATATACAAAGTGCAACCTTTAGTATCGAACATGGTGATACCATTTTAATGGAAATCCATAGACTTATACGCAGGAATTGTCCGGAAACCAGAAAATCCTTTTTTTTTATCCCGTTTTGTTCCCTGATTCCTAAAAGGTTTTGGTCACACCCCCTCCCCTCTCCCCCCCCCCCCCCAAAAAAAAAAAAAGAATCAATCCCAACCTTCCTTTTGAGGTATCGACCGTATGATAGAGATCCGTACACTAATTGACAAGTTATTGCCCTGAACAAGAAAATGCTTTTTTGTCGGTCTCTTTTTGGGCCCTTATTCTGAACAGTTAAAACAATAATCCCCCAAAATCAATACCAACCCCACTTTTGTGATAAAGGACCTTGTGGTACAATCATATAGAGATCCATACACTTGTACACAAGTTATTGTCTGAGAACCGAATGTCTTTGGACGACATCGACGACGACGACTACGACGACAACAACGTCATACAATTCATTTATACGACCGCGGTCATTTTGAGGTATACAGATCTGCGATAGAAAAAGTTCTAGATAATCTATTAGTTTAATCGGCAATTGATTTAATAAACCTTGCACATCTTACAGTAAAAATATGTAAATAAAAGTAAATGAAAATAATCTTTTAGCCTGTAAATAAAGGACATATTTTATTAAATTGTAAATGAACATTCTATTTTCATTATATGAAGAATTTTGTGTTAATGGTAGATTTGAAAATTTCATTCCTGGTATCTATGATGAGTTTATTTGATAGCTTCTATAGAATTATTATTCACAACTTTTAAAACACAGAACGATTTGAATTAATAAATACTTATTAAGAAATCAAGACATTAGTTAAGTGTTTTAATTTGCTGTTAGATGTTTTTTGTTAGATTTTTTGTCGTTGAATTGCTGTCTCGGTAACGTATACTCAATATCTACCTAAACATTCGTCAGTATAACTGTATAGTTATCAGTAATCAAACAATAGTCCTATCTTAACATTTTCCATTGTGTTGGTGCTTATCAAAGGCTATATTTTTTTATTTACCCATACTGTCATAGAGGAATTCACAGGCATGGATGAAATGTTGCATATCAATTTGTTCGGTTTCAAATATTTGGTCGCATACACCTGGTGGTCTCCCTGAAAAACGTTACAATGCAAAGATAAAAATAAATGTATGATACAAATTTTAACGTGCACAACAATAAACCTGTTAACAGTTTAAAAAAAAATATTTTTATTCTATCTAGATCTTTGCGTTACAATATATCTTGTTGTACGGACTCCACTACAATTTGGTTGATCATTGTGGTATATTTGTGTCAATACCATTACCAGATAAATAATCTATACTCTGATTTCTGATGGTTTTATAGACAAACTGAACCCCTGTATCCTTAAACTTGCAAGGTCATTGTATAATCTTGAAATTATCAAGCATCCGTCCGATCCATATGTTAATTATCAAAACCTACTTTATGAAATACATTAATTTTATCATTAACTAAATTTATCTAAATAGCGATATGATCATTATCCCAGTTAAGAGACATGTAAGATATTTATTATTTGCGCAAAGTATTGACGTAAATTATATGCACAACTAACTTATACAACATCGTCTAAAAAGTAAAATACTTTTACAAACATACAGTAGTTGGGACGGACGTAATGTCGTATTTACAATCAAGTTCTCTATCCCTCCATTGATACATCACCTCTCCGAATGCGATGTATATGTATTCTTGCATTGATAAACATTGATGTTTCACTATCGGAGCAGGATCATCTTACCCTTCTACAGCTCCTATGATCACCGCAAGTTTTTGTTAGAGTTCGGTCTTCAGTATTCGGTCTTTAGTTGTTTATTTAGTGTTAACCTCCAGTCGTGTCGTATTTTCTTTTGGCATTGATTAGTATTTCTCTGCATTTTTTTAGTTGCCAAAAGTATGTTTTATTTCACAATACAATTTAACATCGATTACTGTGCGTGCTCTCCGTAACAAAATTAAGAATTTTGTAATTTTTTCAAAATTGTCATTGCATTGTACATGTGTTATTTGGGCATACAGATTTTAAGGTAACACCGAATTTACATTGCAGTTCTATTTATAACAAACAAGGAAACAGAGTTAATGAATTCAAATCTGCAAATAACACTTAAATAAAAATACGTTCGTGTTGCTCAATTTTTAGTTTTCTGTGTTGAATTTTGTGTACTGTTGTTTTTCTTGTCGTCGTATTACATTATTTGCCTTGATTTTGTCAATTTGTTTCAGACTTATGAGTTTGATTATCCAGTTGGTATAATTCGCCCCTCTGTATGTTGCATGATAGTTTTGATTTAAGGATGTTCGCTACTGTGTTTCAAAATAACAAGCTTTTTAAAAGACTGTTATAAGTTGATAGTATATAAATAAAGAAACTAAAAAAGCAGAAAAAAATGAAGGGTCCGTGTATTTGTTTTCGAGATATAAGCCATTGAAAATTTGGCAGGAAATGATTCTCTCTAGATTTTTCATACATTCAACACTGGTACCTTTTTTCACTCAAAAACTATGAAAAAATAACAAGGATTTTATAAGATTTTCAAAACTGACATTTTAAAGTATATGTAATCATATTATGGAGAGAAAAGTAGGGGTTAGTGGGCAAAAATTTTTAATGGCAATACATGGATAAAACTAGAGGATTCCGAAAATCTGGCAGAAATTCAAAAACAAGAGGAGCGAACATCCTTAAAATTAATCCTCAAATTCACATAAAATGATTTGTAGTTCGTATATTTGTTGTTAAATCCATAGCATAGAGATAAAGAATACTAAATCTACATGATTTAGTATTCTTAATCTCTATGCTATGGATTTAAAAACAGAGAAACACAGAATATTATACAACATACACTACAATACACACACAGAGTGTACAAATGAAAAGAACATATATTGTTCTTTAAACTTACATTGTATTGGATTGCATATATAGTGAAAATGTGGAAGTTACATCATTTTGTACAATGTATATTTATCTTACTAAAACATTGTAAAAGTGATTGATATAGGTATAAATGTTTCTTTTATGTATTAATAAATTGTTTGTTTGCCCTCCACGAAGGAATCGTCTTCCATGTTAGGAGGGTTTTTTAGATATTGTATTTTGCTTTAGATCAATCATTATCTTGATAAAAAATGATAACTGACAACTATTTGAAACAATTATGACAAAATATCTTTTTCTTTTTCTTTTTTGTTAAAAAAAAAACACACGTTATGAAATTTATTCGTCGATTTTTAAATTGCTTGTTTCCTCTAAAATGTCTATTAGACTATTTTGAGTAATCTATATTTCTTACATAATCTGTGTAAATCCGAAAATAACTATCAGCATTTTTATGTATGACAAGATGTTTGTTGAAACATTATTACAAACACTTAAATACAAGTATTCCTAAGATAAAGATTCATGTTGAAAATCCTGATGTTTGTAATGATCTTTTGTGTCACAATCAGTTAGGGAAAAGTTAACGAACGTTTTGTACTTTGAATAGGGTCATGTGAGATACATTCGTTGAAATTACATATGTTTCAATATCAAAACGAGTTATTTCCTTTTCTGTCAGTTGTGAACGGACTTTATAATATGAAACGTTAACTGAAAATCAATTTTTACTTGAACATGTTAAAGGGGCATTAGCTGTCAAATTCATGTTCACCGATTTGAATCAAGTTCTAATATTTGATTTACAACTTCCTAAAAATGCATGGACTCAATTATATGTATCCGCGTTTCGTGTCTGTTTAAGTCTAGACGTCATTGTATTAACTATCGAGATGACCTTCGAAGATTACCGACGGTTATATAACCTGATATAAACATACATATGCATATTAGTAAATATCGGGTACGTTCAATTAGATTTTTCTATATTTTTGTTATTTCAGCTACAAATTTAAACACTATGTTTATCATCGTTTTTACCTGTGTATGAATTTTTTTGTGGATCGAATCTGTCAACAAAATGGTTCACACAGGTTTCCCATTCAATATTGATATTATTTCCTTTTAATAGCTTAACACGTCTAGTACATGCATAACCCATCTCCAGCTAAGGGGTTAACGTGACGGTCACATAAATTCAGATTCAAAGAGGCTAAAATATTGTCTTGCAAGTCTATAATGTATCAGCGATTTTTTTGGGACCTTATTTTGGCTGAACTGATTGCTTACAATATAATATTATTCCAAATTCCGCTTTTATTTATACTTAAAACAAAAAGAACCGTTTTAAATGTTTTTGTCCAAATCGTACCTAATGACCTTTTAAAATGGTTGTTCTTTTATAAGACTACGAGTCAGTATTTGGGTTCCTAGGTATACAACTTTCAATAAGTAAAATAAATGAGGACTGTTTCCATGAGACACAGATTATGCTTCTGCTTCAATATAATATCATAATGAGACATAACTCAAGAACGGTAAAACAGTCGAGGCAAATAGGAAATTGCATAATATTATGAAATATCCTAATTTAACACATTATTATGAAACTTCATAATATTAGATAATCGGCTAATTTTGTAACTATATTATGGGATTTCGTAATTCATAAAATTATGGAAATACATAAGATAAGAAAAATTTTATAATTTTAAATATTTTTTTCAGTCGTTTTTTGGGCCCCGTGACTAATGTTGGGAAATTTCTAGAAAAAAAAAGTTATTTTTGAGTGGCGTTTATACCAGGTTATAATGAACAACTGTCAGATTTTCATCGACACGCCTTAAATTCTCCCGACACCACCCTCTTTGTTTGTTGTAAATAATTTAACAAAGGGAGACAACTAGTATCGGTTTAAAATACAACTTGCGGTTATAGTTCTTTGATAAATCGATCTTTTTATTGCTATAATATGCTGTTGTCATATGCATGTTGAAACAATAAAATATCAAAACACCAAATAAAATATTATCTATCAAAGTTTATTTAATGCATAACGATGTATTTGTTAACTAAAATAATGCCAAATAACAAAATTATTTAACAACTAAAATCATATGTCTGATCTTAATTTTGTAAATAGCGATATTTTCTTTACCGCGTGTAGAAACTTTATATTTCTTTTAATTTTAGAATTATTTTTTTAAATATTTTACAGTGTTCTTTTGTTGATTTAGGTACTATTAATTGGATCATGGAAGTATTATATTGTCAATAAACTACTTCCATGATCGGATAATTATGATAAGATTAAATCGTAAGATACGGCATTTAAGTGCATAAAGATGTATCATGGTTTATTTTCATCACTGCTGTAAAGATATGTAGCGTGTACAACATGTAATAACAACTCATATTGGTATGATTCAACCACAAAAGTTACTGTTTACCAAAGAAACGATTGTAAAAAATTTATGTTGTAAAAAGGAGTAGTTGTTTTAATAACACACATTTGTACATATTTTTAACGACACAATTGCTATATTACGCACACGTTTTGATTTAAATGATTCATTAAGTTTTGAATATTTTATAATTAAAAACTTTTCTATTGAATTTAAATTTTATGTTCTTTTATTTAATTTGAAAGTGGTGTTTGTAAATATCTGCATTTGCATGTCCGTCTGCCTTTTTGTGATTTAGTTAAGAAAGAGAGCATAAAAATCAGACAAACTCATTATAATAAATATACATAAAAATAAAGGAATACTTGTATCACAATTATACACAAATTAAGAAATATTTTTGTATCAGAAAATTATATAAATATAACCTGAAAATTGATATGGAATAGAACAATTTTAATTGAAAGACTACTCTTTCGATAATTTTAATTTACAGGGAAGTGGCAAAGTAGGGAAGAGCATCAAAAAAGTTCATACAATTGCGAAACTCTCGAGTCAAGTAGACAAAACGATCTTTCGGCTTCAAAATGATTTACTTTGAAGAAGGAAAAAAAATAGTGCTGTTTTACGAAATCGTTTATCGAATTTCAGTATATGATAAAGTTTCTTTAATTGACAAAAATATGGGGATTTTGAACTTCAATCTAGTAAGGTGATTATTTAAGATGCTTGCGTAGAAAATTATTATATACTACATAATTATGATAATAAGAAATCGTCATATTATACATTTATTTC